GGGGTTCGACCCTCCCACCACCAGGCATCAAAGGCCTGCGGGACCCTGGTCCGCATCAGGAGCTGGCAGCCCCCTCTCTGGACAGCTGACCTCCCCGCTGCCGCTCCAGTCCCGAGCCCGCTGCTCTGAGCTTTATCTGTCTTCACTGACCCCTGGCCTGGTCCTCAGCTCCCGCTCAGCACAGTTCCGCTGCTTCCTCCCGGTCTGCGTCTGTTCCCCATCAGAGGCCCCACCGGAGCGCCAGCCCTTCAGCAGCCCCCTTAAAAGAGATGGATGGAGGTGAGTTTGGGGGAGGCCCTCCCGCAGGCCAAACCCAGGCCCTGACTCTGGCGGGGCTCCTGCGGAGGCCAGGCTGCCGGGCCAGGCTGCCAAGCCCTGGGGATCTAGGCTGTGCCCTGCCCCCTCAGGCCCAGCCCCCCAGCCCTGACTGGGCACCAGCCCTCCATGAAGACCAGGAAAGAGTCACAGTAAAAGGGAATATATACTGAACACCTACTGTGTTCAAGATGCATTACTTAAAGCATCTGTAGCCACTGTGGAGGAAGTGCTATCACTGTCTTGCAGACTGGGACACACAAAGGAGGTGAAGAAACTGGCCACCCAAACAGGAATCCTGGCGCACACCCGTAATCCTGGCACTCAGGAGGCTGAGACAGTAGGATCAGGAGCTGTCCTTCCTTCCTTCCTTCCTTCCTTTTCCTTTTGTTTTGTTTTGTTTTTTGAGACAGGGTCTCACTATGTAGTTCAGGCCACCCTTAACTTGCTACGTAGCCCAGGCTGGCCTCAAACTCACAGTGACCCTCCTGCCTCAGCCTCCTAAGTGCTGGGATTACTGGCATGTGCCATCAGGCCCCACGTAGTTGTCATTTCTGACAGAGACCCTATCTTTCTCTTGAGTGATTCCTTCCACCCAGGGGATGACGCGGTGAGACTTGGCCACAGGGTAACACTTGCCACCACAGCTGGACTTTCATAACTGTTTGCTCTGTCCCAAAAGGCCTCAGTTGCTTCTCTGGCAGCTAAAACGTCAAAAATAAATCTAGAAAGGTACAAGATCCCACTGATGAATGTAACTGTACTGTATACCTAAAAAGTGCCAATAAACTTCATGAAAAAAAATCTAGGCCAGGACCCAGTCTGCCCCGGTCAGGAAGGACACAGCCTGGCCAGATACGGACTCAATCCTGGGAAGAAAAGAGGGACTGGAGGGAGAGGAGAGAGCCCATGAAGGGACAGAAAAGGCAGGGAAAGGAGCCCTGGCTTACAGGAGAAGTAGTCAGCGAGAGAAAGTGAGAAGGAAGGGTCAGGGATGAGGGGTCGCCACAGGCCAAAGGTTGCAAGGCACCAGGGAGTCCCTGAGCAGGAGGAAAGTGGAGGAACTGCTCTCCTTACTTCAGCCTGGAGGTGCATGGGGTGATGCTCTGTGACCTCCAGGTCCACACCCCACTCTTTTGAGCCCCTGGGAGCTGCAGTGGCGGCTGGCAGGGGACAGCCCAGGTGGCCGGGACACTGATGCTGTGAGCCTGCCCACCTCAACTGCCCATGAGTCACCTGAGCCAGGCCCAGCCCCGAAGCCCAGGCTCTCTTCTCCTGCCCGCAGCACAGTAGGGACCCAGTGTGAGCAGAGAGGAGACTGAGAAGCTGGGGCCCAGCACAGGGAAGGGGTGCATGGGAGAAAGTGGGGTGCCTCCTCAGAGCTGGCTTCCAGGTCCACCCAAGACCGCCATGCCCCTGCCACACCCCCTCATTCCTGACCCCACCATCTGCCCCTCCCGTGTCCTCAGGCCACCTGCTGTGGCAGGTGACTCCCAGACTTCACAGCCTCCCATACCTTGTCCATGCCAGTCTCTAAGTGACCCCAACACTGCCCTCAGAGATCCCCTTGCTACCACAGCCTCCATCCCCCCTGTGCTCCTGGGGCATGCACCATCCTCACACAGTGTCCCTTGTTTACAGTTTAGTCATCGAGAGAGCTGTGGACACAGCCAAAATACATCCTGCAGGTCATCAGCCTCTTTCCCCCCAGCTCAGCTGCCTGCACACTTCTGGATGAAAAACTAGGGGCCTGCTGATGTGCACTTATAATCCCAGCTACTCAGGAAACTGAGGCGGGAGGACTGCAAATTTGAGGCCAGCCTGGGCAACTTAATGAGACCCTATCCCCAAAAAATGGAGGGGAAGAAAGATACTCACTGTTGGAGCACCTAGTAAGTGCAACCTAGTAAGTGCAAGGCTGTGGGTTCAAATCCCTAACACTCTGCAAAAAACAAAACCAAACAAAGACCAGGGTATTTCCAGAGCTTAAGTCTGCCCCCCACACACACATGCACACACGTGCGCACAGTTACATGCATGCATACAGGTAATCCGGTAGTGCACTCCTTGTTATGGCTGAGACCAAGAACAACACCCAAAGACCTCAAACACTCACAGGCAGGCTTTTGGAAGGAGACTGAATCATGGGGTTTATGGCCGACTTGCGTTAGAAGGGGCCTGTCCAGGAAGGGTGGTCACTGTTCACATGACCTCCCGCTGATTTGCCCTTTCTGTTCCCAGCCCCACGAGCAGCTTTCTTCACCAGGACCTCTGCCACTGCTCTGCCTCGAGTGCTCTGACCGTGGTCTGTAACTCCAAGCTGCGGCAAACCTCTCCTTGAAGTTGTGGGTGTCAGGCACTGTGTCTGACCCATGAAAAAGTGACTAAACCACCCCTGGAAGTGCACCTGTACTCACACGCACAGCTTAGACCAAAATGTAAACTCCATAGGCAGGGACAATCTTTCCCACAGTGTAGCTCCAGCCCTACAATAGCCCCTATAACAATATTTGTAGAAAAACCATATATAATGAAATACTGTACATACTGACAAATAAATGTATATACATATAGATATAATACATTCACATAGGGCCAGGCATGGTGGTGCACACCTGTAATCCCAGCACTCGGAAGGCTGAGGCCGGAGGATCACTGTGAGTTTGACACCAGCCTGGGCTATACAGTGAGCTCCAGGGCAGTCTCAACTCCATAGTGAGACCCTGTCTCAAAAAAAACAAAAAAACCCAAAACAAAACACAATGCTGGGTACACACGCCCAAACACCTACATGCTACCAGCATACTTATTTACATGTATTTAGATAAATACATGCATTTGGTCACATAGTTCTGTGACAGACCTACACACACACACACACACACACACACACACGTATATATACAGCTAAACATACACACAACCACTATACACATAGCACAGACATTACTCTAAATATCACACATAGATGTTTATCATATGTATATGCACATATGTGCATGTTCACATACACTACATGAACAGAAATCGAACTTCATTTGCAAGGATTCTTCCAATCAGGTAGAAACTCAAAAGGTCCTGGCCCGGTCCGCCTGTCAGTACCATAAGTACCCACCAGATGGCACTCTTTCCGCGCTTCCTGTACTTCCAAGCGTTGTCAGAGATGTCGCTTCTTGGGCTAAGGCGCGAGGTTTGCGGAATCATGTGGACCTGGGCCCGCTCCCTAACCCCTCCCCCAGCGTCCCGCGTGTCCTCCGTCCCCAAAGTCTGCAGAGTTCTCTTCGAAGACGGGGTCGTCCTCTCGAGCCTCCGGGCTTCTATGGAGCCACCCCTCCTTGGGGCTCCAGCTCCGCCCTGTCCTGAGCCCTTGGGCCCGGCCTCCATCCCCGCTGGGCAGAGCCGCTTCGGGCCGGCTGAAGGACTCGCCAGAGCCGGGTCACTGGCACGCACACCCCTTATCTCAGCCCTCACAGCGGGCCCTGCACCCAGGGTGGGGATGCTCAGCCCGGGCCGGCCGGGAGGCCCGGAAACCTGGGCTCGGGAGGGGCGCGTTCCCCTCCTGTCTGCCCGGAAGGATCGGGTCTGGCCTCCCGACGGACCCAGGAGGAAGCGTTACGAGGGCACCCGAGGAAGCCTAAAACCCGGAGGTGGAGCGGTGAGGGGGGCCGGCCTCTCGGGCTCCAGCCTGGGCCTCCTCTGGGTGGGCGTCCCTGGAAACTCCCAGCAGGGCGAAAACGTCCAGGACGGAAGCGGAGGAGGCGAGAGTTCGCAGCCGCCTCCTCGCAGCCCCCAGGGAGCAACGGGAAATTATTTATTAAAACGCCGCCCGCGTTCTCATTTATTTGCGGTGAATAATCCTCGGCATCTCAGCGCGTTTATTAAACCTTTCCCGTCCCTGCGCCCGCATTACTTTAATAATAAATCGCGTGTCACTTTCCGGCGACGTTATTAAAGCCGTCCGCGGCAGCGCAGGCGGGGTGGGGCCGGCAGGGCTGTGAGGGGGAAGCCGAGGTCGCAGGGGCTGCTTGGGAAGGGCCTACCGACTGCGGGACTCCAGCACCCTCTCGGCGCCCCGGCCTGGGCGGTGAGGAGCCTGGGTCCTGCGGTGGGCCCCAGACCCGTCCCCTCTCTGCGCAAAGCGGATCCGCCTTCCCTTGGCTCCACCACGAATGCGCCCCCCTCCCCACCGCAGTTCCTACTCCCGGGGTCGCTTTGGAATTCGCTCCAAGCAGCCCAGCCCAGGACTCCAGTCCAGGCCGGCGAGCAGAGGCAACCCGAGCTGCCCTCGGCCAGGCCGAGCCCGGTTAGGGTTCTGACCGCGTCCCCAGCTCCCAGAGGACAAACTCCGAAGAGGAGCCACAGTCCCTCCCCCTGTGGCGCCAGCCAGGGCAGGGCCCAGGGTGTGGGAGGCCACTGCTAACAGCAGCTTGCCCCTAACCCGCGCTTTTTTCTCCCCTTCAATCATCCAGTAGTCTCCCCGGTGTCACTGGACTGGGTGAGGACAATGGGAGGAGAGCTGGGAGCCAGTCAGACGGGACATGTCGCCACGGGGGCGGATGGAAGCAGGCTGGCCAGGAGAGTGGGCCCAGTGGGAAAACGGGTAGCTTCCCGGGGAGCTGGGCAGCTGGCCGACTTCTCCCCTCCATCTGGCCCAGGCTTTCCGTTGGGGCCCCACCCATACAGACCTGGCTTCCCACTCAGCCTGGAGAGGAGACAGGGCCTAGGAATCCACCCTACCAGCCCCAGGAGGGGGCAGGCTGGGAGGACACCTTCCTGGGCAGAGTGCAGGAGTCCCACACGGAGGCCGGGCTCCTGCAGGAGCTGTGCGCAGCGGTGTGCTCGGCTCATTAATCTTTATTGGCGCCTACGAGGCCTGTCTTGAGTCAGGTCCTCTACACAGTGTGCAGGGTGGGAGCAGGCACTGCACAGAGCCAAACTACTCTGCTGTGCTCTCTCACAGAGCCCACGAAGAGCACAAAGGACCGCAGTTACTAAGAGCAAGCAGGACTGAGGTGAGAGAAAAACTGGAAGATGAGTTGCAAGGAGGGGTACACTGAGGCTTGGCCAAGGCTGGATACCCCAAAAGTGACAGCAGCAACAGGGCCTGGCAGTTAGAAGACGGGCTGAGCTGGGCTGGGGGAAGGGCTGCTGAAGAGAAGGGGGCATCCTGGAGTCCTCAGCTCTCTGTGGACTCGGCAGCCAGTTTGCCCCAGGACCAGCAGGCCGCTGCTTCCCGCCAGCCACCGTGTTGGAGAGTTTGCGAGCCCGAGCATCTCTGCATAGGCTCCTGTGAATCCCACGCCCCTCCTCGGGGCCTCCCTATCACCCCTGTCTGGAGTCTCTCCCTACCACCGCAACCTACTAGGAGCTTCAGAACCATCCGTGCTCCTCCTTCCACGTCTTTGCCAGGTCTTCTCATGAGCAGGGCAGGGACCAACACTACGCCGGTCTTCCCTGCCGAGGACCAGAACTGTGGACCTAGTAGTAATCCTCACCCTCCTCACTTCCAGCCTCCTCCTCTTCGGGCGCCAGGTTCCGCGGCCACTGCTGAGCTATGCCTGTGGAGTTCAGCTGCTCTGCAAACACCACAGGCACAGGAGAGAGAAACCTATGGAAGGCTCTGCTTACGTGCGCAAGCGCGCGTACACACACACACACATCTCAGACACTCACTGGGGGCCCTAACCCTGCACCATCCTCCCAACTCCTCACCTGGTGTGAGCAGGGTCAGGGTGGCGTGGGCCTTGACCTGACCTAGGGCATTTCGGGCAATGCAGCAGTAGGCACCCTCATCACTTGGTCGCACAGCCTGGATCTGCAGCCAGCTGGTCACCTCAAACCTCTGGGGCCCACCCCTAAACTGGAGCAAGATGCAATCAGGATGGTAATTCTGGGGGCCCGAGGCTGCCCACAGGAAGCTTCTGTCCCCTGCCCTACCTGCACAGAGATGTGGGGGTCATCCCCTGGCAGCTGGATGTCCAAGCCATCCTTCCTCCACTCGATGGAGGCCATGGGATACGCAAACACCTCACAGCCAAAGATCACATCCTGCCCTGTCACATCCCAAACGTCCTGGGGCTGCGACAGGAATCGAGGCTCTGGGGAGAGGGAGAGGCCTGAGAACAGGATGGCGCAGCCAGCCCACGGGACAGGGGAGGAACGACTGGAAAAGCTTGTGTGAACACGGTGTGTGCCAAGGTGAATACAAATCTGCCGATGGAACATGGCACACACAGACACAGAAACGCAGCTGCAGGCATGTACAGGGGCAGACGAGGCACGGGGATGTGCATGACAGGTGTACACTCAGCACATGCAACAAGGTGTGCACACAAGCACACAGGCCGCACCTGAGCTTGATGACACCCTGTCCCTGCCTGCCCTCACTCCACCTCCCCTGGGGCCCTTTCCTGCTGTACTAGTAGCCAATATCTCCCTCCCCATCCTCCCTTTCTAACCGGGCCCAGGCCCCTGCCCGCTCTACCTCCATCCAGCCCATCGACAGGCAGAGGGAGGCTGGACACAGGTCCAAGCAGCGAACCTGAAACCAGGCGCCCGACAGAGGCCTGGGGGACTGGGGGAAACTGCTGGGACCCGGCTGGCACGTTTGTTTTCCCCAGCAGCCCCAGCCGAGCCAGACCCCAAGGAGGGCTCGGAAAGGGAATGTTGTAAGTTGCCAAAGAAAACTTGAGTCCGAAATGGACCCTGCTCCTCAGGGCTGAGGACAGGGAAAGTGAAAATGATGCACCCCTTTCCTACAACCCCGAAACGCAGCACAAAGGAGAGGAGGGGGCCTGCGCTGACGGACGCTCTAAGGGTCTGCGCAAGTGAAACCTGATCTCTCCGCGACCCTTCCCGCTGCTAGGGCGGCAACTGAGGGTCTTTCCACTTTAAGCCAGCTGTCGTCCAGGTCGGCAGTTCTGCGCACCAAGCTGGGCGCTGAGCCTTGGGGACTAGGGGTAGCTTCCCTAGGTACGCCAGGTTGCCCTCCTCTTCTTCGCTCCACTAGCCAGGGACCGTGGCTGTCGGAGTTTGGGAGCTCTTATCCCGAGGGGGCCGTGCCGCTCGCGTACCCGACTCGCAGGGCCCCGGGTGCACCACGGTGAGGTTGGCGTCAGGCCGCGCTGTGGCCGCCTCCCGCAGGCGGCAGATCTGGGTGTAGGTGCGGC